CAAGTTGGACGAAGTCCCCACCGTCTGTGAAAGCAAAGCGCTGCTGATTTTACATGTCGCCATATCTATGATTTATGCAACGCTATTATACTACTAACAATTAGACAGACATCTTCTCCCGCTCAGAGGAAACCACTGCACATTTCTTGGAACTCCACGTGCGAGTAAAGGTGGAGGCGATGGATGACAACAGACACGTAAGTCATGTTATTGCTTGGATTTTACGGCGCCACCTTAAGTCCATGAACTTCCCATTTTAACGGAAAAAAAAGCGCAATGCGACTTGGATGTAACGAGTAACTTGACACTTTTGTAGAAATGTAGTGAAGTAGAAAGTACAGATACTTACTATAAAATGTAGTGGAGCAAAATTCGAAAGTATCCATTATTAAATCTACTTAAGTAAAGTACAGATACACGAAAAATGTACCTAAGTACATTTGAAGTACTGAAGTACATTTAAGTTCTTAAGTACTTAAGTGGTGGTTACTTCCCACAGTAACCACCACTGCGGGAAGTAACAAAGTAGTGGTTACTTCTCACCACTGTGTTTATAAAGTTAAAAATAGTTCTCACAGTTTTTGTGCTGCATAAAATTATAATGGCAATTGTTTTTAAGTGTTTTAAAAACTTTGGGTTTAGTAAAAATTGAACTGTTGCTTTTATAAAGTTTGTCTGAAATTTTCCCTCCAAAATGTGTTTGTTGGCTGCAGGGATCTGACTGTGACTGTGTACCATACCCAGGGGCGCCGCCAGGAATCGTGGGCCCCCTGACAAAAAAATTTGTTTGGGCCCCCCTGCGCAGCTGCTGTTACAATTTTTTGAGTCTATTTGACCCATAAAGAAGCGTCACAGTTTTAAAGGCCTGCATCTGCCTTGCTTTCTTTGGTTCAACACTGATAATTAGCACAATAATTACTGGTCATGAATTTAACATCCAACAGTCCACATCCAGTGTGCAAGTAGGTTGCTTACATTTTTTCTGTTAGTTTTAATGAAATGTCTCTCCCCATGAGCAACAGTCAAAAGCAACGTGCAACTACACTTAAAACAATCCAGGTTTCTCAAAAATGCTATGTAGTTGCATTTTATTCAAGCTGCAGTAGATAACTTTAATAAAAAAATATATGTTTTTTCCATAGTTGTTAAAGCAGCAGTAGCAGTTTGTTATGAGACAGATAATCTGTGAAAACAATCAATCTCCTCCATCTCCTTCCTGAATTACTATTACTGGTTAAAGTAATGCACCGTTCTGACCAAAACAACCAATCAGAACTAGTAGGACGCTCTTAGTGCTGTCAATTAGCCTCATTCACTCACTGCTAAATATGCTAATGGTGGAGAAACAACTTATCATTACAAGAAACCGTTTATCTGCCATCATTGGTAGCTATGCTAACTAAACACTGAACACTGTACTATTATAGGTCCTTTATGCATTCTTTTGCATAAAGTAAGAATTTTGAGTTTTACATTATATTTTAGATTTTTATTTGTATTATTTTGTATTATGTATTAACATATTTCACTGATGCTGATTTCTACACGATTTTATTTTTCTTTATTCCACTTGCTAATATAAAAAAGCAGAAGCTGCTGGGATCTGACTGTGACTGTGTACCATACCCGATCGTTAATTGTGTCTCACACTGTCTTGAATAAACTGACGCAGATCCTGATTCCAGTGTGATTGACCCTTTTCACAACCGTTACGCCAGGTAGGTGTAAGCTTCCCCCTCCCGGACTCTCACACACACCTCCTGCATGAAACGCTGCCTCTTCATGAGGAACATTCCCTCACTTTCTTACTGGCAGCAACTAATCTGAACTCTTCTGCAATCTGTCCCTCGTCACGTCTCTCTCATCATCCGCCGCTGACGATAATAAATCCCCTGAATAGTTAATTCTACCTCCTTCTCTGCTCCTCAATATGCTGCAGCAGTAAACGTTTGTGTGGTAATTAACATATCGGATAGTTTGACACGTTTTTCTGAATTGGCTTATGCGCTTTTTAGCTTTTGTTGTCGTACTTTTTCTGGCCCGCCCCTTCTTGTCCGTTCACTTTTCGCTCTATGTATAACCTTAGAGGGCCAAGGAGGACTGAGGGATTTCATTGGATAAGCAGCCTCAATGTCCATCAATGAAATCACCCAATGGGCTTTCAAGGTCGATAAAAATTATATGTTATATACCTTTTTTTTGTTCAATTATGACAGCTTAGGGCCGCCAGATAAGGACAGTAAATATATCAGTCTGTAAACCAGACGGTCACTCCTTATCCTGACATAAGACACGGTACTGCGACTGTCACCGCGAGTCGCGACGCACCTCAAAGCCCCGGTACCACCTGCTCTCTGTTCGCTCTGCTTCTCCTTTACGTTACTACCAAGCGGGTTAAAGCCGCTGCTGACGGGATCTGGGCTGGAGGTGAGCGGCTGTAAATAGAAGTTATTGCAGAACCTCAAGTGTTAAAGGAAGACTCGGCCCATAGCAATTAGAGTTCACAAATCAAACATCAGAGAAAATACTGTAGCAATAATTAGAACTGCAGCATAAAGCCAAACATGCTACAATTAAATGAATCAAAATGTCCCCAAAGCATCAGCGGCCTGGTGTAGGGATCACCGGGGGATTCCTGGTAGATTCCAGAGATGCGCATCGCAGCAGCTGTTCATGCAGGGCCGGACCAAGGTAATATGGGGCCTTAGACAGAACCCTCCCGCCCCCCGAAACCCTTCCTACTAAGAACCTCAGCATCACTGACGTTTAAATATAGATAAGGTGAAGTCTGTGAGAGGGAGACCAGGTTTATTGGCTGAGTTTAAAATCAATCAGTGACCTGGTCTCCCTCTCACAGACTTCACTTTGGTTGTTTGCTGTGATGTATTTGTGAACAAACCCCACTCAAACACAAAGGTTACACCATATTGTAGCCATGGTAACGCAACAAACTATCAAGATGATTCTTTAAACTTTTGCAAAGTAAACTTTCTAATTAAATCCTAAATGTACATTTTCTTTTTCTCAGGTGAATGCATTAAATAAAATTCAATAACACTGTCATTCTCTATAAATGAATGCTATAGGTTTAGATCTATGGTCTGTATTACAATTAAACTATTTCCAGCAGCTACCTAGTTTTCTTTGCCTTGATATCCCAGTCTTACAATTCTAGATCTCAGAGGTGCTAACATTAAAAAATTATGTAGAGTTAACCCCTTTGAGCTTTTTAGATCTATAAAGCAGTCTGCAGTCAAGTTGTTGTAGAGGTTAAATAGATATTATTAGGGCTTAATTAGTAAAATGGCAGCAAATTAACCCTGTTTAACAGCTACAGTCTCAGTTCAACTCAGTCCTCCAGGACTGTCAGCAGCAGAAACAGTAACACTATACCTGTTGGGGAAAATATACTACATTTGCTTTGCATTGTCCCCACATGATGGCAATGATATAGTAGGATCCAATTAAATTATTAATTAATATGGGTTGTTGCTATGTTGTTGTACGGTGTTTTAAGATCTTGTTCAATGTGCCCTTTTTTTAACTTTGAGCCCCCTCCCCCTCAAAAGGTCTCTGCATGACCCTACTGACATTTGTTGCACTTTTCCTGAGCATCGCGCTAAATACTGCAGGTGAAACAGTTAAATCTAGTAGAAACATTTGCCAAAAGAGTAGAAATTAATCAAACATTGTTCCTTCACCTTCTCCTCCTGTGGAAGTCTCAGACACACCACCTGAACCTGTTAATCTTCATCCTCCACCTCCCATGTATCACACGGGTAGGCTTTGCTTTATTTAGAATTTGTAAAAAAAATAAAAATAAATAAAATAAAAGTCAGCTGTGTTAGTGGGCCATGCCCATAATGTGCATGTGCCGTATTTGTATGGTTTAGGTACGTGCTGGTTTTGTGTGACACGCACACAATGCCCGTGAGGTTTGGTTGTGTTTTTGCGGGTCAGGTGCAGTGATAGTTTTGTGCGTACATACCCTCCGATAATATCCTGCAGGCTCAATGTGCTTTTTTTTTTAACCCCCTACGGTGCGGAGCAGGCGCTGACATATTGATGGGAAACTGACTTAAACCTGTTACAACAACGTAAAAAGTCCCCTTAGTCTTTTGTTTGACTTGAGCTTTTATATGTTTTCTTTTCTGTATCTAAAATGGACTGGTGACCTGTCCGCAATGTACCTCGCCTCTCACCCACTGACCACTAGAGATAGATACCAGCACCCCTCACAACCCCACAAGAGATAAGTGTGTAAGATAAATACACAGAGCTGTGTATTTAGTTGGGCTACCCTTCTTGTGAAGCAATTTGTGAAATCAGTGAAAAAATGTTATATGAATCATTTTTCCATCAACTTACCTTTAAACTTGTGAAAGACAGCCCAGAGCTCAGCAATGTCAGTGGCAAAAGTGATATCTGTATCAAGAACAATGACCCTGCGCAGATTCATGGGTAGCGTCTTGGTGAGGACCAGTTTCATTAGTCCGTAGATACCAGAGTAGTGTTTATTAGGTATCCATGACACTTCAGACTGAAACAACAGAGCAAAGACCATCACTTCCATAAGGACCAAAGAGTACAGAGCTCAGACTTTGTCAGAAGAAAAACACAGATACAGTACAGACTGGTAAAAGTGATCGTGCTCCACTGAGAATTTCTGAAGAAAGTTGGGAATTGCTTAAGTATGAGGATTTTTTTTCTCACCTTAAGCTCATCTGCATCATAGAAGTTCACCCTGACAGCAGGGACCATCCAAGAATGAAACAAATAGGAAAGAATCTGCTTTGCAATAGAGTCTGTGATGAAATGGAAATGAAGAGCATTCCGTCTGAAGACACAAGAATACAACAAAATACTAATAATCATTTTCTGCAGAACACTAAAAAAGAAACCAGACAGAAAAGAGTCAAGAGTCTTTGATTTCAAAGTTTTAATAATATCCCAATCCCACATCTTCACACCTCATCACAGAGGGATTTGAATTGCATCTATTTAAAGTAGTAACTTAGGTCAATCAGTACACCCAGCCAACCCTCCATCTCCCACTCCAGCCCAGAAAGGTGCCCTGGCTCTCTGGTCTGACAGAGGTTCTCCTAACACTGTGATATGATATCATCAAAGATCTATCAGACTGTCCTGACTGGTCATTCTTTTTTCATATATCCTAACCCTAACCTGGGAGTAGTGATGGACTCTGACCTGAATCTTCAGAGTCACATTAAGACAGTCACAAATTTAGCCTTCTATCACCTGAAGAAAATCTCCAGGATTAGAGGACTTATGTCTCAGCATGATCTAGAGCAGAGGTTCCCAAACTGTGGGGCGCGCCCCCTAGGGGGGGCGCCGTGTCATTGCAGGGGGGGCGCAGGAAGCCATC